TACCTTTGTATATAACTAAAGCTTTATTATTATGATCAAAACTTCATGTGTATAAAATTATTTCGCAACCACTCTAATGTTGTACTATGTACTATCCATCTGTACAGTATACAATTGTTTAATAAAGCACACATAACTAGGCTGATGAAATGTTTATAAAACAAAAAAAAAAATTAATCAATCAATCAATATAATTTAATATCAAAGACTTATGTAAGCTCACAAAAAATTTTTTTTTCCATATTTCTTATAACACATTTAAGTGTTCTTGAAATAAACAAATTCAATCGAGAAAAATTCATCAAGAAGAAAAACGACTTCTCAATATAAATTTGAATCGATCCGAAAAACACGCATGAATTAAGTTAATTACAAAATGTACTAGTTGATTGTTAATCAATTCTACGGAAAATCTTATTTCAAATTAAAAGCCTTGATCCATCTTCTTTCGTGATCTCTCGCATGCTCCTCCTCCTTTTTTTTCTCGATTTCTCTCTGCTTCACGTACTCTTTGGCTAACTCCCTGGTTTCCTCCATTTCTTGCGACGATGCAAAATCCACTTGCCAGAATCCGGGAGGCGTAGTCGGACGGCTATATCTCACTCGGTGTCGCGAAGAGTGATGTATACGGGCCTCCATCAAGGACTCTGGACTTTGTTCCTGATCCTTGCAGTGCGTCCCAATTAAGCAAGGTTGAATCTTCTACATCATCACAAATTGTATCTGTAGGAGCTTGCAAGTCGTGGCAATCATTTAGTTGCATTGTGATAGAATCTTCAAACTCTTCAGTTTCTTTTTTTTTCTCTAATATCGGTTTCCATCTTTTTCTCTTATTGCTATTACCCGGTGAATTAAATCCGCTACCATCATCTTGTTCTTGTGTGATAACCCTTTTCTTGTTTGATTTAAGGGTACCCTCGTCAGAGAAAAAAGAGTCGTTACGTTCGTCGACATTAATTGGGTTTTCAAAATCAGTCCCAAGCTGAGGTCTGCGGTCCGAATCAACAGAAACACTACTTTTTACTTCGGTCATGCACTCAACTTTCTTTCGGCTGAAGATACCTAAATTCAGTGCATTACCGAGTAGTGGACTTTCAACATCATTGGAAGATATTTCCAACGAAATCTGTCTGTCATAATTATCAATATCCGCTTCACTATTTTCATGCAGATGATCAGACAACTGGGTGTCCAACAGCGCACCATCGACACTAGTGAATGAATTATCGAGAACATTCATAAAACTAGCAAAGGGGCTATGTGCTTTGGCCTCGACGGATCTTGCATCAGTAACTTTTT